AGCGCTCGTAACCCTGCCCACGGACGGGGGCTGGGCCCCACATATCCATGTGAAGCGTCTGCAGGGGAGCCTCTGTCGAGGGGAAGTGGGAGGAGTGAGGAGTAGCCCGGAGGCGACCCTCGACACAGGGGACACAGGAAGGTCCTGGCCCGGAGGGGAGAGGAGGGAGAGACTGGGGAAGACCAGAGACAAGGACACGGGAAGCCATGCTCCGAAGACGGGGCAAGGAGGGGTGGCCAAGACGGTGGTGCCACAGGAGAGTCTCGTGAGACAGGAGGCGACAAGAACAGGGGGCAGACTCAGGACCTGACCGGGACGCAGCAGCAAGTACCTGACCCGACGCAGCCACCTGACCAGACCCAGGGACAGGAGGAGACTCAACGGTCAGGGTGTAGAGACTCGACCCCGGCCGACGCGAGAACGTGGCCAGGTGTCGGCCTGTGCGTGCCTCCGTGCAGTGGGTCACCCGCTGCCTCGTAGGAGTGAACTGGTGAACACCCCCATCCTGCAGGTCCGCTCCACTCACCAAGTTCGTAGAGAACGAGGGAAGGTACAGACCCGACAGGGTGCCCGAAGGGGCAGCCGGACACGGGAGGACAGTGGAGAAGTGAGACAGGACAGGACCTCCAGAGGGGTCAGCAAGGGAGACTGCAACCGGCCGGCCGAGCGGCGTAAGGGTAGTGCGGTCTCGAAAGAAGGAGCGAGAAGCTCCGGAGTCAAGTGTGAAAGTGAGGGAGGACGAGGACGACGCAGTACCTGAGAGCGCAGTCTCACCAGTACCTGAGAGCGCAGACGCACTGGCACCTAGAGCAGCAGCCTCACAAGCACCTAGCGCAGCAGTACCAATGCCCGGGTCGGGCTGGAAACAACGGTAACCCTCATTCTCCTCACTATAATCCACAACATACATAGCAGTAAGGATAGCATCAAAATCAAGATCAAAGATCGCTACACCAGCCCTGAGAAGCTCATCCCAGCGAGGGATCTCACTAGCCCCAGGGAACTGCTGACGCCAGGCGTCCGTCAGGCGGCCAAAGCAGCGCTGGGTGGCGTGGGCACCCCCACACTGCTCACCCGCGCGGTCGCCGGAACGAAGAACGTAGGTGCAGGGACCAGTACCCCCACCCCTCTGACGCCCAGCGTACCACTCACGAAGCTGCTGAGGCGAAGGGATGTCCCGCGAGCGCTGCTGCTGCTGCCGGTGCGAGCGCTGGCCACCACCACCGCCGCTACGCTGCTGGGTACCACCCCGACCAGCTCCACCTCCTCCACCACCACTGCCTCCTCCGCTGCCGCCTCCACCGCCTCCACCTCCGCCGCCTCCACCTCCGCCGCTGCCTCCATGACCACCGCTGCCACCACCACCACCGTCTCCGCCGCTGCTGCCACCACCGTCTCCGCCGCTGCTGCCACCACCACCACCACCACCCCCGCCACTAGTCCCGCCGCCACCCCCACTCCCTCCGCCGCCACCGCCGCCACCGCCACCGCCCCCTCCAGCTCCACCCGCGCCCTTGCCCCCCTTGCCCTTGCTGGAGCGACGTCTCCCACTAGGGGCAGACGCCGCGCCGACCGACTCAAGACCAAGCAGGTCGGCAGCAGCAGCAGAGGCAACAGAGGGCAGCAAGGGGGAAGGAGAGCACCCCTCAAAGATGGGGGTGCGAGGGTCACCTCGAGAAGCACCTACAGCGACTATGCTCTTCTCCGCTGCAAGGAGGGCCTTCTCGAGGAGGTCGACGGTGAGGGTGGTGGGACAGACTGCGAGAAAGTGGTCCCTGACGACGCGAAGGGAGTCAGGGAGGCGCGCGACTACGTAGTAGAGAGCGATGTACATGGGGGGGGGGTTCTTAGCGCAGAACTCAGCAGGAAGGGCGGCGCGGTAGCGAGTGTCACTAGTGCGGAGGTGCGTAATGAGGTCAGCGACAGTGGGAAAGGCAGAGAGGTCAGGAAAGAGGTAGGGAAGCATGAGACGGCTCAGTGCAGCAGTGGCAGGGGAGGAGTAGCGCGCAACTACAGCGTCGTACAAGGTCTGAGCACTCTTGTACTGACTAAAGTGCGCACGCTCAGAGGTAGGGAGGTGGCGACGCACAGCAAGACGTGCAGCAGCATCGCGGGTGGCCCACTTAGAGCGGACAGCGGGATCAGCATCAGCAGCAGGAGCAGGAGAGGCGCCAGAGGTGAGATCAAAGAGAGAAAGGTCGTCAGCCTTGTCGCACTGTAAGAACAGCTGCAGGTCGTCTAACCAGACCTCAAAATCAATGGCGCGACCCTCAGCGTCAAAAGCTAGGACACTAGGGGTAGCCATGGCGACGACAGCGACGCAGTGCAAGCAGCAGGGAAAGAGCTCGCAGTGTCAGTGGGACTGTGCTCACCAGGCAGGGCAGGTCGAGTAGGTATGCAGAAAGGCGGCTCAGCGACCTGGCGGCTCGGGTGCAGGGCGGCTCGGCTGCTGGGCGGCTCGGGCGCAGGGCGGCTCGGCTCCCGGGCGGCTCGGCTCCCGGGCGGCTCGGCGGCTGGGCGGCTCGGGTGCAGGGCGGCTCGGCTCCCGGGCGGCTCGGCGGCAGGGCGGCTCGGGGCCCGGGCGGCTCGTCGTCGGGCGGCTCGGCTCACGGGCGGTTCGGCTGCTGGGGCGGCTCGGCCAGGAGATCCAGAGGCGGGGCCGTCAGGTGCAGCGGCGGGTTGACCGGTGCAGTGGCGGGCCGGCAGGTGCAGCGGCGGGCCGGCAGGTGCAGGGGCGGGCCGGCAGGTGCAGTGGCGGGCCGGCAGGTGCAGTGGCGGGCCGGCAGGTGCAGGCGGCGGGCCGGCAGGTGCAGCGGCGGGCCGGCAGGTGCAGTGGCGGGCCGGCAGGTGCAGTGGCGGGCCGGCAGGTGCAGGCGGCGGGCCGTAGGGTGCAGTGGCGGGCCGGCAGGTGCAGTGGCGAGGCCGTCAGAGGCGGCGGGCCGGCAGGTGCAGCGGCGAGGCCGTCAGAGGCGGGCGGGCCGCTGGGTGCAGCGGCGGGCCGGCAGGTGCAGCGGCGGGCCGGCAGGGGAGGCGGCGGAGCCGAGTCAGGGGAGGCGGCAGGGCCGCGTCAGGGGAGGCGGCGGAGCCGCGTCAGGGGAGGCGGCGGTGCCGCGTCAGGGGAGGCGGCGGAGCCGCGTCAGGGGAGGCGGCGGGGCCGCGTCAGGGAAGGCGGCGGGGCCGCGTCAAACAGGCGGCGGGGCCGCGTCAGGGGAGGCGGCGGAGCCGCGTCAGGGGAGGCGGCGGGGCCGCGTCAGGAGAGGCGGCGGGGCCGCGTCAAACAGGCGGCGGGGCCGCGATCAGGAGAGATGGCGGGGCCGCGTCTGAGGGACAGCGGGGCCGCGAGGGAAAAGGCGACCCGAGGGGTCGCTAAAAAAAAAGGGCGCGCCTCGGGGCGCGCTTCGGTGGGCCCTAAAAAACGGTCCTAAGGTAGGACCCGCTCTATACCATGTGAAATAAGTAAAACAGGAATGAAATGACTAAGGAAAGATTGGGTACAAATACAACCCTAGAAACCCTGTACCCCATGTGTGCTACCCCACTATAGCCTACAGCAACTATGTCATATAAATCTGACAATTTTCTCGGCATTCCTTACGGCGTCCAGCTACATCGCGTACAGCACTGCCGTTGTTCGCCCGTTACGGCTAACGGGACTTCGCCAACTTCGCGCGCACTGTTTTGCCAAACCTCGCACTGCTGGCCCAGCCGTGTCGGCCTACGCTTCGGGACTAGCCTGAGCCTCGCTGCCAGCGTAGCACTAGCTAGCTCGCACGCACCGCGTTACCGTTTGCATGTTTCGCGTATAAATGTTCGCTCATGTCTTCGCTCACATTTTGTACTCGTTTGACACCTTAGTGCAATCCTCGCTACCTCGATCCATTGCACCCGTAACACCTATTCTCAGAACTTCGATTTATATCCTCTATAGAGGCTAACGCATTACTGCCATACTTATTGATTGCTAGATAATATTTGCAGTTATCCTAACAGTATGTTAGTGGTTGTGTCCTCCTGATACATGTCTTTGATGTGACCATTATACCAAAGATATATTCCAATTAAAACGGAAACAACAGGGGTGTACATTAATTCAAGCTAGTATCGAACCGAAAGACAAATATATTAATTTTCATCGCACATTTTTCATCGAGTTGACATATTAGGGGGTCGTGCTGACGTCCTCGCACAAGGTGACTTGGCCCTTTCGCCCGGGGAACAGGTACATCAATTCTCGCATCGTCTGAATGTACAGCACAGTTGTCACTGTCATCGGGCAAGCAAAGCACCATCTGCCTGCCCTAGTTTTCTTCCACCTAAAACCCCACGACGACCATCAATCGTTGCCTTCGAGGCTGTAACAGGCTCTAAAATCACCACGCGGAGAGCGTTGGGATGTTTGAATCACCCTTTCGGAAGTTCCCCTGCTCTCTCCGCGTGGTGAAGTCCGCCAGGGAACCGGTGCATCGTTCTCATTCTCAAAGCGACTCGCGACCGAAACCGGAATCGGCTAGTTTTAGCGACTATGACAGGCCCAGATTTTGGACGTGTCGTCATCTCTATGCGCTTGTCGGGTTGGCACCTCTCGGCAATGCCCGGGTAGCCAAGCTCACGTCATCGTCTGAGCCTCCCCACCCACAGTGACTCTTTTGTGACGCCAAGAGTCGTGTCGAAAAGTCGAACTCTTGTTCCATCATCGCACCTCGCTTATTGTGTATTTTTTGGGAAACTATTACAAAACCGGCGCATGCAAGCGGAATCGAAAAATTGAAGCTCCAAACCGTCGTCCTTCATCGGCAATGCTCTCGTTTAGAGGCAGGAATTCCGAGTCGGCGGGTACTTCTAGCCCAGTGCCGCCTCCGCCGCCGCCGCTGCTTGCTCGAGCGATTCTCGCGCAGAAGGATGCTATTTTCGGCGCTTTGGCCGTCGGAAATGCCGCGGTCGCGTGGTGGCAACTGTTCGACTTCTCTCGCACGCTCTCCGCTCTCAAATCTGCGCGCGAAATGACACTCGCGGAAATCAGTCGCGAGAAGCAGCCTGCTGACGCCACCAGAGGTAGCATCGGCACGAGCTGGCGCGAATTGGTGGCGCTGAGAGGGTTCGTGCAGGCCGGTCAGGCAGGCGTCCTTCCATGGGATCGTCCACCCCCGCTGCTGCCAGATCATGGCGGGCAGCAGCCGTGCGCCTTCATGGAGAGGACAGAGACGGTGAGTGTGGGAGAGGCGAGGGGAAGAAAAAATGAAAGGGGAGGAAAGCATGCCTGGTTCTGCCTTTCATTTTCCCGTTTCTTGAGTTCCATTCTCTTGGCCTCCTCCCCTCGCCTCACAACCAACTCTCTATCATACAGTGCCTCTGTGCATCAGAGCCCACACTCAATTTTTCAGCCTTCCGGCTCCCAACGTGCCAGCTCTGTCGCCAATCAGCTCTGTCGCCAATCAGCTCTGTCGCCAATCAGCTCTGTCGCCAATCAGCTCTGTCGCCAATCAGCTTTGTCGCCAATCAGCTCTGTCGCCAATCAGCTCTGTCGCCAAATCAGCTCTGTCGCCAATCAGCTCTGTCGCCAATCAGCTCTGTCGCCAATCAGCTCTGTCGCCAATCAGCTCTGTCGCCAAATCAGCTCTGTCGCCAATCAGCTCTGTCGCCAATCAGCTCTGTCGCCAATCAGCTCTGTCGCCAATCAGCTCTGTCGCCAATCAGCTCTGTCGCCAATCAGCTCTGTCGCCAATCAGCTCTGTCGCCAATCAGCTCTGTCGCCAATCAGCTCTCTCGCCAATCAGTTCTCGCCAATCAGCTCTCTCTCCATCTCGTTCACTCCTCTTCAGCTCGCTAGCTCCCTACCTCCGTTCCCTTCTAATCCCTCTTCCCCCTCCCATCCAGACCTACTCCATGTGATTCTTGTTATTGTAAAGCTCTTAATTTCCCGCTGCTCTCCTTTCCTGGTGACCCAGTTCGTATCAGAGTCGCTTTTCAAGCTGCCGCTGCCTGTGGGGCTCTTCAGCGTTTGTGCATAAATTCTTTCTCCCTTGTCCCCCACCCCATGCCGTGCGTCTCCTCCTCTCTGCCTTAGATTCTACAGCCGAACCTGCATCTGCTGTATGGTTGGGTCATGAAACCAAGTCACATGATCCACATACAGAAATCTGTGAGTCTTAGGATCTTGGAATACGGAAAAAGTTGCCGTTCGTGCACTCTTTCTGCACCCTTTCCTTTAGCATAGAGAGAAAGTGAAAAGTACCTTTTTATTATCCTCCTTGTTTCGTTTTCTGTAATTTAGTCCCCCTCTCTGTTTTCCTTTGCATTCTTTCTTGCTCCTTCCTCTTTTAATCTCAACCCCTCACCTCTGCTCAGATCCCCTTCTCTCTAGCAGAGAACACGCACCCATCAGCGCTACGCGTCAACATCTCACTGGAGGGTGTCACGCAGCGCTTGCCTCTATACACAACGTACAGTCACGTCCGCAAGGCCCACCCCTCGTGGGGCGATGCCGCCCTGCGCGTGCTTATAGGGAAACCCCTGCCAGTGAGTATACGTGTTTGTGTCGCCTCTTCTGGCAGTGAGTAAGCCTTGTGGTCCACCCAGCCGATGACACCTAGCCTTTGCCACCCAGCCTTTGCCCTTGACACGTTTCTGGTGCTAGTGTAGAAATGTTAGCATCTGGTGCTTGTGACGCAATTTGTCGCTTTTGCGGGCAGCTAAAAAAAGCCACTGCAAAATAAAGAAACTGGAAGGAGGGATGTGGGGAGAAGAGTGAGGGGCGATTGGCACATGGCACGGAAGTTGGTAAATTTGGCCTTGCAAATGCAGAAATGTCGACCCGAACCAGCAGTGCTGCTGTTAGATGGCCTCGCAGGTTGGGCATTCTAGTTGCATTTCGTGCATGAGTAAGTGCCACTCCACACATACACCTTCCCCAGGTGGGCCTGCACACAGAGGAGAAGGTGCTGCCCATCAATCACGAAGTGACAGCTGTCGGGCATGTGAGATTTGGATCCGACGGTCGTCCCGCCATCTTCGCGTCGCCCAAATTTCGTTATTTCCTGTGAGAAATTCTTCAATCCACATTTTCTTTCCTCAGCTGTAACTGCATACCCTTGCTTGGCGAAGGCCCTTGGTTACCTGCATGTACCCTTTCCTCACTCAATTCCTTGCTTTAGTGTACAACATTCTTTCTAAAAGGCCGTTATTCTCTTTGCTTCTCTTTCTCCTCCCTCGTGTTCCCCACCCTTTCACAATACTATCCCTCTCTTTCATCGTCTTTCCTCCCCATCCCCCCTCGTGACCTTCCTCGTGACCTCCCTTGTTCACTTATTTCCTCGTTCATCTTTCTCTCGTTCTTTCTCCCCCCACAACCTGTATTGGTTGCTTTGCCTTCCCTGCACATTCCCTGACGTCAAAGCAGGCATGCATTAGAACAGCAGCTGAAAAGCCATCGGCGGGGAACACATCTGTGCATCTCACCATCCTAATTTTCCCCTTCCCTCCAATGCTCACTGCCCTGCCCATCCCCCAGTTCTCTGATCCCAGGGCGACTGCGAGCGCAAATCACTGCTTTGCTTCATAATTCTCCAGCCACTTCCTCTCCCTCCCCCTCTCCTCATCTTCCCACAACGTCCTCCTTTACCCCTGTCCTCCTTCCAGCTTTTCTGACACCAAGGCAGGCATGCTTCAGAAGCTGAACCATGAGTGGGCGGTGCAGCTGTTGGTGTGCTTGCTGCTCTCTGCTGCTGCTGCGGGCCTCGTTGGCTTTGCTGTGTGGAGGTGCGGATATGTGAACAAGGAGTTGTATGGATGCACGGGTGCATGGGTGCATGAGGGGGTGAGTGCATGGTTGACTGGGTAGATGGGTGGGTCGACGTGGGTGCATGGTTGCATGGGTGCATGTGAGGTTGGTCATGGGTGTATGGGGGGATGGATATATGGGTGGATGGATGCATGGGTGCATGCGTGGGTGGTTATAGGTGCATGGGTGCATCAGTGGATGGGTGCAGGGGTGCATGGGTGCATGGGTGAATAGGTCTGGAGGAGGTGGTGCTCTCACCACCTTGCTATGCACGTTTTGTCTGCAATGCACTCGCTGCATGCATGCATTTCAAGTGTGTGCATGCAAATGCTAATACACATGTCTGAGTGTGTCTCTGCATGCCACCGCTCAGTCTTTTGCCCAAACCTCTTTCCTTCCTCTTTATCTCCTCCAGTCCCGCTAATCAACCTGGTCTGGCTCTTCTTCTTGCTCCTCACGAACATTTTCCCTTCTTCCTTCCATACCACCCACGTTTCCGCCCCCCCCTTTCTCAATACCAGGCGACATCAGCGGCGGCGACGTGGATGGGGGTGGGTGAAAGCGAGAGCGTGGGGCTTGTTGTTGTTTGGGAGGAGACGGTGGCGAATGGTGTCACGTGCCATTGAGACGAAATGGAACTTGCTCCTGGAATTTTGGGACTGACTCAAAAGGCAGCAGCGGTGGCAGCGTGGATAGAGGTGGGAGAGAGTGAGAGTATGGGGCTCGTCGTTGTTTTGAAGGAGACGGTGTCTCTGTGGCAAATCCTGTGCCTGCGGGAACCTGGCAAAGGGTTTGGAAAGCATTTCCAATCAGTGTACCACCCCCCGTCTACCGTGACCCATCAGGGTACCTTACAAGTGTTCCTAGGCCCCACACTTTCTCATCAGTGTAACACGGTTTCTCATTGTAGCACAGGGTTTAAAAATATACGCTGCATATATTGTCGGCTAGGTTGGGCTAGTCGTTAGAGGGTACAACATTTGTACTTACCAGGAACCATGTACGATACCATCAAGCCCCGGATATACCCCATGGTGAGGGGGGGGGGGGGGGGGGGGGGGGGGGGGGTATAAAAAAACATGTAAAATTTTCAAGTTCAACTTCTAAAAAATTGAAGATTGTGATTCAACTAGAAGAAGAGTTTGTTATAAATAAGACAAACTCCTTATCATTCCCGCAGGTCTTTCAGAGTCTGAAGCACCATTGCTGACGATGCCGGACACCCTGTTGATGTCCACGCCAATCGAGTCCAGGTGGCTCGTGAGCACGGTGAAAAGCGACGACGCGTCGCACTTATGCACCGTCAGCAGCGCCAGAAACTCCGTGACGGAGACACCGTGCTTGAGGAACGTGGCAAACACAATGAAGTGTTTGCCATATGCGCGATAGATGCTCTCGTCGCAGGTAAGGCCTACGAATGGCGAAGCGAGGAGATGCTGCAGCTGCTGTGTTTTCTGATACTTTGCCATCGCCGACGCCATTTCGTTGAAACCTGTTACAATCCCAAGTGGGACTTAGCAAAGGATCGCTCAGGGTTGATCGCGGAGTAGTATTGCAGCGGAAGTTTGAATCTGAGGTCAGAGTGAATGTAAATGACTGAGTTGATAATAGCATGCATACATCGGGTTTATATATGAGTACAAGGGAATACGAAAGGACCTAGACTAGCCATGTACTCTAAGGGGTACATTCCCTTATTACAATCGAATTCAAAACCGTGCGGCGTGGGAACCCGTTCAAAAACTGTTCCCGCTCTTCTCACTTCAAATGTTTCTGCCTGCATCGGTCTTGGTCTGACGGTTGCTGCGTCGCTTCTGCTCTTCTGACTCCTCAACTTCGTACTCGGTAGAGTCGGCTCCTACAGCATACAGGAATGCCTTCTCATAAAACTTCACATCGTAACACTCCCCTTCATTCCTGGGCGCGGGTGGAGCTGACTCGCTTGACTACCAGGCCCCTAGATTCGTTTTGAGGTAGTCTGAGGCCTCAGAGTACACCGCTCTTCCTAGTCTGGCTGTCAGAGTGACCTGATTTTTGAAGTCTGAGATTTCAGACTACACTTGCATTTCTACGCTGAACATACAGAGTCATAGTCAATTTTCCCTGTTATAATGAAAACACTAAGTAACCTTCTTACATTTCTTCTTGATAGTCTAATACAGGTTCACGTTCTACTACTGCCTCGTCTACAGGCTCCTTCCCAGCCCACGAGGGCTCCTCTCTGTGCCTTGCAGCAGGTGCTGTGACCGGCCGGCGCTTCTTGTAGCTGCGCCATATCTCAGCTACTCCTGGGACATCTAGCTCATAGTCTAGGAGTGAAATACAGAGCAGATCACTCAGCCTACAATCCTTAATGCTGCCCCTCTGCCACGTTTTGATGAGATTCTGTCGGGAGAAACCGCGCTCGCACTCGACCGTGCTGAGAGGCAGCACCGCAATCGCCACCCACAGTCCGACTAGGTTGGGGTACGCCTGCTGCCAGTCGGGTGTCCTGAGCATCGCACAAAGTCCCGTGTGGAACTCGCGCTCGCTCTTGGGGGCTCTGGCAAGGACCGGACACAATGTGCGCAGCTCCCTCACGGCCTTTTTCTTGTCAATGCCTGCAAGGCAAAACAAGACACAGGTTTAGTAAACGAGCCATAGCCAAAGGGGGAAAGGGGCGGGGTGACACAAAACCATACTAGGTAGTATCTCGTCGGCTTCATCTGCGTGAAACAACGTGACAAGCGACATCAGCCACTCCAGGCACTGTGCCTACCGTGCGTCCCGGTCCCAGTGAGGTTGCCACATCTCTGGAATAAACAGCCGCACTCCGAAAAGTGAGTCAAGGTCGCCGAGCTTGGACTGGAGCTGCTCGACAACGAGCTCGGCCATGACGGTGCAGAGCGCAACGCAGGCGTGGTGATGACCAGGCCCAAGATAGCTTGGGTTGGTGCGTTTGTGAAGCTTCACCTTGAAGCGGTTTATACTGCCGTCGGACGATGCTCCTTCCACCACCATTTCTGGTGTCCCTCCTGGACCGTGCTTCTCAATGAAGCGGTAGAGCCTCTCGGTCGCCCCCCCCCCGAAGTCGTCTCCATAGTCGACGTACCGAGTCTCCAGGATCGATGTGGTGCGCACAATCTGCGTGTGCACCAGCGCGTAGGCGAGCTGCATCACAAACATACAAAGAGAATTAGTACAATGGGTCTCAGACTTAAACCAATACAATCTACACCCTCAAATTCACTTACTTCTCGCTTTTGAAAAACTGAGGAGAGGACGTTGAGCTGCTCCAGCATGTCCGCGAGGAACCTGATGAGGAACTGGAACCTGTACGACGTGACGAGTTCGTACATGGTCTGGTCCTTCCACTCCGACAACATGACCATGATGGCAGGTAGGACTTGGACGAAGCGGGCAACTGCAGCTCCTCTGGACAGCCACCGCACGTCGTGTATGCCTTGGACCTCGAGGATGGTGGACGTGAACACCTCCTGGAGCTCCATGAAGCGCTGATGCCACGACCCCGATCGCCCGAGGTACTATGCGACGGCGCGGATCACGTCGTCGACCATGTTGAAGGTGGGTATCTTCTCCGCTGCGGCCTTGGCAGCCAAGGCCTCCCTGCCAGACAAAACCCCACATGCACAGTTAGTTTTTCATAAACAAACAGATTTGCCGTTTACACATGGCGTTAAAACACAAACGCACCTGTGAGCGATGCAGTGCAACGAGACCAGGTTGGGGATGAGCATTCGCAGACGAGCAACCACACCGTTTTGACTCCCCACCATCACAGAGGCGCCATCCGTGCTCACTCCCGAGATACGCCGGAGGTCAACGCCGACTGCCCTGAGGTGGGAAAGCAACAAACTGCACAAAGATGCAACGCCAGCCCTATCAACCGTTAAATGCGCGACGAACTCAGTGACAACTCGGCCTTCGCGGAGAAACGTGGCAAACACAATCATGTGCTTGCCGTGCCGACGGTCGGTGCTCTCATCGAGCGTTATCCCGATGAAAGGGCTCGACAGGAGGTGCTCCTGTTGCGTTGTCTGAAGCCATGTCGCAATGGCTTGAGTGAGCTCTCCAAAGCCGTACCTACCGAAGGAAGACAAGGTCGTTAGTGACGGTCAGCAAGGATACAATGTTGTACACACGGGACACACATAAGAATTTACGTACGTGTTATAGTATGTGCCATATCCCTGCTCGGGAAACCCGGGCACTTTCTTCTTCGCCAGGTAGCGCACGAGCCAGATCCACGAGTCCATGGGCTCGTTGCACTTCCCCATGAAGTACAGCGCGTCGACGAGCGACGACACCTGTAGCAGCTCCATGTCTTGCGCTTTCGGGTGCATGTCGATGCGGTGCTGCCACCCGTACTTCTGCAGCAAGTCCTCCTGGCGCTGCAGAGCAAATCGGTGCTTCACCGTCCCTTCGTGCTTCTTGAAGGACTGTGTCTGCACGTCTGTAGCTCCCTCGGTACGCCGCCCACACTTGCCATTCAATCCCGCAAACTCCAGGCAAATACTGCACTTGAAAGAAGGGGCACCAGAAGAGGTCTTAGTTAGAACAAGCCAACTATAATCGGTGGACCACTTCGATTTGAATCTCTCATGCGCTTCCTCGTATTTCAACTCAGGATTATTGGATTTGGGCTTTGAGCTGTCCTGCGTGGGCCTCGGGCTGCCCTGCGTGGGCATGGAGCTGTCCTGCATGGGAGAATTGTCGCCCGCAGGAGTCACAATGGTCGATGGAGGAGGCGGAGTGGCCCAACCAAGGGTGGACTGCCGATACCGCAGCTTCGACGGTGGTGCGGGATGAGAAGGTGCACCAACAGACGCCTCATGGGGCACCGCCTGTTGCGCAGCGGTCGCTGGTTCAGTGATGGCCTCGTGCAGAGGTGTGGTGTCTCTGGGAATAGGTGGGCGGCTCGAGCTAGGTTGCGACGGTGGCGTTGGAGGTGGATTGTGCTTCGGTAGGACAGACCTAA